CCGCCCTGTGACCCGGCCCGCGGCCAGGGCGTGCGGCCGCCGGCTTTGCTGTGCCGAGCTAATGGCGAGGGACCAAGCTGTCGGCTGCGGAGTGCCCATTAGCTTCCATCCCTGCAAACCCCGCGGGGATCTGTAATCCCCCTCCATTAACCACTCCGCTTAAGTAAAGGGAATACTGGAAGTAACTGCACCCGGGAGGGGAGATTTACATGGATGAGCAAAAGCTCCCGTCCGTGTGACTAGAGCCAGGGACTATTTTAATCGTTGGGCTATGCCCCTCACCGAGAGGCTCCTGCTTTCTCTGGATACAGATTTCTGACCCTGGCTCTCCAAAGGAGCCCACGAAACACATGATTTAAAACACCAGAAGTGCCCAGGGCTGTGGTTTAGGGAGCTGAAGCCCGGCCAGCTCCTGCCGATGGGGAAGGAGACCCCCAAGAGCAAATTCACCCGACGGAGGCACGGATGCTGCTCCGGTGGCTTTGCCTGGAGCCTCAGGCAAAGGGGACTGCAGGGACCAGCACGAAGATGCTGCCCGTCACCTCCCCAAACCATCCTGCTCTGTCTACGTCTGTGGGTGCTCCTCGGGGCTCAGACTCATCTCGACAGAGGATCCCTCTCCTCTCGCAGGGAGGCCGCTTGACCCCAACTCCCTACCGCTCCGCCCTGCTGAGAACGGGCTCCATTCAGTTTTTCTTGGATTTATTTCCATGAGAAATGAAGGTACAGCTGCTTCAGAGCCACAGCCCGTAGTGCTGGATAATCTCAAGAGTCGGGGGGCTTGAAATTCTTTGAGGAGAAGACGTGTTTTGTAGGAGCAGCCCTTCCCTGGGGATGGACGGCTGGGGTGATGTCTGATGGGTCTGGTCTCCCCTCAGAGCTCCCGCAACCGATGAGGCAGGCAGGACTCTCTACGTGCTGGCTGAGAAGCACACGAGTTAGCGTTCAGCACCTATCCGAGAGCTGGGGCAGGCTGCTGCTTGGAGGAATTTAGGGTTTACAGTCTTGTTACACTTCACCTTTCCTTTAGCGAAAGAAATCCTGTTTAACCGAGGCAGGGAAAGCCAGCGCAGCTCCTGGCCCAGGCTCGCTGCCTCTGGGGAGGGAGCAGGTGGGCAGGGGGATCCCTACAAATTCTACTTCAACAAGAAGAAACCGCGACTTTCCCACTAGCAGGTTTGAAGCACGCATCGAAACGGGCCTCTGAAGCAGGGGGAGTGCTGGACTCCAGGACAGGCCTGAGGGCCGCAAGTCCTAGAAAGCAAAAACTGCCAAAAAAAGGTGATAGACGATACAAAGGAAGAGTTTTTAAAAAAAAAAAAGGAAAAGAAAAAACATTGTACCACAGAAGCTTCACATCTCTTGCAGGGCTGTCTATACGAAGAAGACAGCTGTGGTCTTTCCCCGCC